CAATGGAGACGTTACTGGGCCCGCTCGAGCAAATCGATGAACAACGGGAGGACAGTGTTTTTTGTTTTCATTTTGATTTTGTTTTGTCTCTCTGGTCCATGGCTACTGATTATTTATATCGCCAAGCTCAAACAATCGATTTCTTATCAATAATTTCCAGGTAATGAAATAATGTCTAGCTGTTTAAAAAAATTAGCATGATTTACAAAGTTGTTTACAATGGGTTTCAGATTTCAGGCATAGAATCTTCTCACCTATGATCCAACAGAAGGTAATGAGAGATTTTAATATGAGCCCCTTCCCTGTTTGGCCCCAGCAACTGCCACAAAAGCCAATGGGGAGTGCTCCTTTCGGGAAGCACTGGAGCACGTCTTTCCTCTCCTCTTCAGAGGTCAGTGAGCCCTGGCCCCGATGCCTACTGGGAGAGCGCTTAGTGCATCCCCTGCCAGGCAGGCCTCCATCTCCGGCTCTGGGGGCTCATCCTCTTCATACTTTGACTTTTCATCCAAGGGACTATCCATCACGGCCTGAGGTCACCTCTCAGGGCAGCATCTGGCTGAGTCGCAGATGGCCACAGTAGTGGTGTAGGCAGAGTGCTCCTGCCTCTTGACTGATCACTTCAGAGACTGTCCCAGATGCTTCTGAGCATCAGAGGGTTGCCCGGGTCTGGGTCTCTCCCACCCGCCAGCCACCTGCGCCCACTCTGCCAGGAGGCCGGGTGACCTGTGTGTCCAGCTCCTAAGGTTGGGTCGAGCTTCCACTGGATCTGGCTGTATACTGCCTTCAAAAGCCCAGGGCCTTTGTTGGGGTGCACAGTGAGGAATTGTGGGGGTTTGCCGTGGAAACAACCAGTGGTCAGACCATGTTCAGGAAGTGCAGCTCACTCCCCCCTTGCTCCTGGCCCTCTGACTAATGAGAAGTTCTTCCTTAGAGGGTCAGCACGGTGCCTGTTCCCTTGGCAGGGAAGGTTGGGGCCACCCCGGGGCACAGGCCACAGAGCAGGACCGAGCACCCAGGTGTGTTTGCTGGCATGTGCGTGTCCATCCTCGTGCCCACATATGCATCTGGAGAGTTTACCAAGATTCTATCAATGTGTGTCCTGTGATTTCACATAATGTCCCCTTGTGAGCACGCTCAACCGCCTGGCTTAGCACGGAGACACCAGCTCCTCTCTGACTTTCTCTCAGGTGTTTTCAAAGATAAAGGCTATTTTCTTTAGTAATTTTTCATATTTGAGGTTATTTTAGGGGGGCACAAAAATAGTACAGGGTTTAAGGAGCCGACAGCACAGCGGGTAGGGTGTTTGCCTTACATGAGGCCCACCCGGGTTCAATTTCTCCGCCCCTCTCGGAGAGCCCATCAAGCTACTGAGAGTATCTTGTCCGCAGAGCAAAGTCTGGCAAGCTACCCATGATATATATATTATGCCAAACACAGAAAGAACAAGTCTCACAATGGAGACGTTACTGGGTCCACCCGAGCAAATCAATAAACAACGGGAGAACAGTGCTACAGTGCAATAATTTACCCACTTAAGGAAAATATTTTTCAAACATGAGGCTGGAATGACAGTTATGTCAACACAAATGTGATATGTCATGAGGAATTCTATCATTATTTAAGATATGCTCATTCTTTAATTAAATGCAATCAGAATATCTTAAATATAAACTGGTACATAACAGGAAATGCCCACAGATCACAAAACTCAGTGAAACTCAGGTTCTTTCCCTAAATTAAAGGAGTGCCCAAGAACAGATGACTGGTTAAAGAAACTTTGGTACATCTATACAATGGAGTACTATACAGCTGTTAGAAAAAGATGAAGTCATGAAATTTACATACAAGTGGTACTACATGGAAAGTATCATGCTAAGCGAAATGACTCAGAAAGAAAGGGATAGACATAGAAAGATTGCATTCACCTGGGGAACATAAAGTAACAAAATAGGAGACTAACATTCAAGAATAGTCGATATAAGGACCAGGAGGTTCACTCCATGGCTTGAAGGCCAGCCGCACATGTTAGGAGAAAGGGGAGCTCAGACAGAGAAGGGAACACCAAGTAAAGGGTGTTGTGAGGACCTCCTGGGATGGGAGATGCATGCTGAAAGTAGACTATAGACCGAACATGATTGCCACCCAATGCCTCTTTTGCAAACTTCAGCAACCAAAAGGAGAGAGAACAAAAGAGAATTCACTGCCACAGAGGAGGGATGGCGGGGGTGTGGGGGGTGAGGGGTGGGAGGGATACTGGGATCATTGGGGGTAGAGAATGGGCACTGGTGGAGGGATGGGTACTTGATCATTGTATAACTGAAACCCAAGCACAAAAACTTGTAATTTCCACAACTGTACCTCATGGGGTTTCACTAATAAAAATTTAAATAAATAAATAAATAAATAAATAAAAACCAGAAAGGGGAATATCATTCCCCATCCCCAATTCAACTGGCATACTGTAAAATGCACCAAACAGTCACTGTCACTGTCCTCCCATTGTTTATCAATTTGCTCACGCGGGCCCAGTAACATTGTGAGACTTGTTGTTACTGTGTTTGGCATATCGAATATGTCAAGGGGAGCTTGCCAGGCTTTGCCGTGAGGGCAAGATACTCTTGGTAGCTTGCTGGGCTCTCCAAGAGGGGTAGAGAAATCGAAGATGGAGGAATTGAACTTGGGTAGGCCAGTTCGGCTGTGTGTAAGGCAAACGCCCTACCGCTGTGCTATCTATCACTCCAGCCTGCACCAAATAGTATCAACTGAAAAAAAGGCATCAATGAATAAGTAAGTAATAAGTAAATTTCCTTGATGTAAAATGGTCATTTGAATACACTCACATTTGTCATCATTGTCATAAGAATAATATGTTGATCTATGAAAATTAATGATGAATTTAGAATTCAAATATATTTGAAGAACTTTACTTCCTTGAAATTAAGTTTGAAAAGAAAAAGGCTTGTTCTCTTCAATTCAGAAATTGGGGGAAAAGAAATATTTGTAAGAGTCTATCATATTTCTTTATATTTTGTCTAAAAACTTCTTTTGTTAGGCTTGTATTTATAGTCTACCTAAAAATATTGTGTTCCTTTAAAAGTTAGTATTTTCCAAGGAATCTTCAAGTGTATTGTAAATATTTTATATATGACTTCCTTTGCCGGGTTCTATTTGTCTTCAGCAGAAAAGAAACCTTTCAAGTGATTCACAAAGAGTTTGGAAATTCATGCTCCATTCCTGTGCTGGCAGCTGCCAATCGCCTCCCTGCAATCCTATTTTCCTTCCTGTTGTTTAAATTCTTATGGCTGGTTTTCCTTATTTCCAATATATGGCAAAGAAGATGTCAAGAAAAATCCCAGTCTCATGACATTTTATTTGTCTAGTTAGGCACTGGTTTTCTGAAATCCTGTCGGCACCATGTCCCCTGAACACTCATTTGTCTCTGCCTCTCCATCCCATCATACTTCTAACATTAATGAAATGCAGCTAACTTCGAAGGTAGGAAACAAGTTACTGGCCACAAGCTAGCTGTAAATAAAAAAGGCAGCCAAGGTGGATTGAAGTTCCAGCTTTGGATGCCCTGGGCTGTCACTGGAAGTACATGCACTTGCTCTTAATTTCAAAGGGTGTTGATCTTCCTCATTAAACAAGACATGCTTTCATTAAAAAGTAGGAAGTTCAGGTGTCAAGAGACCTTTATCCTCATCAGCTGCTGAAGAAACAGTTCTTTGGGAAATACACAACTCTCTTGAGAAAAATATGCTGAAAGATATTATACCTGATCAGATTTATTTTTAACAACTGTTCAACTTGTCCCTAAGTTATTATTCTGTCCCCTTGAATTATCAACTCCATCAAAGTCTACTGCAATGGCAGCTTTTCAAATGAGTTCAGCTGACTTTTCTAGTTATTGAAGGCTCACTTGAAATTCTAAGTAATTTGATTAAATTGCCTTATCAACTACTCTTTCAACAGTGACCATTCTTGTTGGACCCAACTGGATCTTGGCTTCAACTAAATAAAGACAGAAGAGAACTTTTCTTAAACTGATTAATTCCTAATGTGACATTTCTTTTTTTATTTTTTATCTGTATTTTTTATTTCAAATCTCCACTTGTGGATAAAAATCAAAACCTCAGTATTTAATGCTGTACATCTACTCTAAAATTTGAGTATCACATTACACTTAAACCACTGAGCATAAATCCTCTAGAATTAAGTACAGTTCATACCAAAATTTGGCAGATCCACGAGATTCCTTATAGCTTTGGCAACATTTTTTCAAGTACTTATTATTTATAACTGTGTAAATTACCCTAAATTTCTGATCACGTTACATAATGAACTGATGTAAAATAAGCCAGTAAAAATATATTTTAACAAGGCAGTGTTTACTTTCTTCGAGTATAATGTTCCTACAAAATGTGCTGAAGAAACTTTAACGCTTGTATCTGTAGCTTTAAGTCCGACAGCTATATACAGATTTAAAAGTTATCTGGAAGATGATGGGCTCTATATACTGAGAGAACAGACCCATCACCTTTGAGAAGCAAAAGCAGTTCTCAAAATTCATGCCTCAAACAATGCTCTAGAGAGAAGCAGTCTCACCTTCTGTTAGGGAAAAAAGACAAACTTTAAATTATTAAATTGAAATAGAAAAATTATAACTTAACTTTGTTCATAATTGCTGCAGATGAGTTATTAAAATTCAAAACTTATGTAATATTATCATAAAATATGGCATTTTTCTCAAGAAAGCCACAAATTGGATATGAGCTTATGCACTGTAAAACCCAGATGGCTTGCTTAACTACTCAGACATCCTCTGGTTCAAAAGTTAATTGAACTGAAAACTACAATTTTGATAATTGATACACTTCTAGGGACTAAAGCAGAAGGATAAATTAGCCTCATGCCTAGGGTGTTAATGGACTTGAGAAACCATGACAATTGGTCAGGAAATGTTTGACAAAGTAGAAGAAAAGCAAGTATTTGCGTAGTACCTGATCTTGCCTTGATCTTGATTTTCTTTCTCCATTTTCTTGCTCACTGGATCAATATCAGTCATGATTTTGCACAATTCAACTTTTTCTAAAATTAAAAAGAAAGTTTTTATGGCATACTCTATGTTTACGGGCATTTTTCAAATTAAATTGCAAATCACCGATTTTCTTAATAACAAGGGACATAATATTCTTTCCCCAAAATTACTAACACTAAGATACTCTAAAAACACATTTGAGTGTTTTTTTTCTTTTGCCCACCCCAAGCTCCTCAGATGTTTTGCAATTACTAAAATTTAGGAAGGAAAGTACAGAGTAAATGAACTGCATACATCAGATAGGAGACAGCTCCCAGGGAAACGCTCCCAACAGCTCAGTACACACCAATGAATACAGTCTCTTTTCTACATATCAGCATTATTATCAGCATTATCATTATCAGGCCCCATTTATACAAAAGAGTTGGCTATTTTAAAATAATTTAGCAATTATTAATTAAGGTAAACAGGAAGACTGAGTTCTCCAGAAATATCATCCATTCAATAGAGTAAGACAGAAGTCCTACAAAGACCAAGGTTCTGTTTTTCGTTTTTTTTTTAATCTAGTTCAGAACCTGAGAGACAGTTTAAAGGACAAGTGTGCATATTTTGCATGTGACTGACTCAGGATCAACCCCAGCACCGCTTGAACCCCTAGCAATTCTAGGAGCAACATGCAGGCACTGAGCTAGGAGTAACTTATCCCTAAAGAAAACTCTACATAAATTCTATGATTGCCCATTCATTTCTAGTCTCTACAGAAAGTAGGATTAAGCTAGTTTGAAATAATCAATCATTATATATCCATTAAGCACTTTCTAGTTACTAGTTCAGATATTAAATTAATATTTATATTTATTAATTAATATTTGATATTAAATATTAAAGATATTAAAGATGTCTTTAAAATCCAGAAATCATAGGTAATGAAACTCTATGCTTTAGGAAAAATCTACACATAAGGGGGATGTTTCAGTGCTGACAAATAGAAGACCACGTCAACAGCATTATGAAATTCAGGTTTAAAATGTATAAAATAATATTAAAAGAATCTGTGGGATAATATATAACTTTAATATCCCCTGATGATAACATGCCAGGTGTTGCCTAGAATTCTCTATGAATTAACTCAAAGTTCACAGCATTTTTGTGGTGAAGGTGTGTAGGTGTTTGAGAGAAGGTTATATGGGGGGCAATGCACTGTAATTATTCCATTTACACACAATAAGGACACCTCACCCAAGACCTTGTAACTTAGAAGGTACAGAGCAAAGGTCAAACCTAAAGTACCCTTCATTACTCTACTTACTCACAACTCTGGAGACCTGGATACCTATTCAGGAAAAGGAGACAATTACTGCCTAGCTCACTTTGGATGCTAGTCAGAGTTTGAAAACACACTTTGTATAAAAATTTCATTGTGGACAGTTAATTACATAAAGGTAAGATGAAGAAGATATTACATAAAAGAAGACAAAGGGAAATAAATTTTTAAGTTTCAGTCTTAAAAATGAAAATGCAAATATTTGCTGTAACCTAAGGGTGTTAGATGCTATAAATCAGTAGTTTAATGAACCACTCAATAAAACATACCATATTACAAATGAAGATACTGAAGGAGGGAAATAGTAATTAATTTGCCCAAGGTGATAAGGCATTGTAGCACTGTAGCACTGTCCTTTTGTTCACCGATTTGCCGAGTGGGCACCAGTAACAACGTCTCCACTGAGAGTGAGCAGATGCCATTAGGCTACACTAGCATGCAACAAGCCATAGTATAGCACTGTAAAGCACTGTTGTCCCATTGATCATAGATTTGCTCGAGCAAGCACCAGTAACATCTCCATTCTGAGACTTGTGTGTTTAGAAAACACACGTATTTGGATATGTTGTTGTTACTGTTTTTGGCATATTTAATACACCACAGGGAGCTTGCCAGGCTCTGCCGTGTGGGCGGGATACTCTAGGTAGCTTGTCGGGCTCTCCAAGAGGGATGGAGGAATTGAACCCAGGTCAGTCACGTGTGCAAGGTAAATGCCCTATCCGCTGTGCTGTCACTCCAATCCAAGGCATAGCAGCATTGACATCTGTTGTTCATCAATGTGCTCAAGCGGGCCCAGTAACATCTCCATTGTGAGACTTGCTGTTATTGTTTTTGGCATATCGAATATGTCACAGGTAGCTTGCCAGGCTTTGCTGGGCAGGCACAATACTCTCGGTATCTTGCCGGGCTCTCGGAGAGGGGTGGAGGAATCGAACCCAGGTCATCTGCATGCTATCGCTCCAGCCCAAGGTATAGTAAACAGAGCAAATATTAAAACCCAAATAACCAGTCTAGAAGCTTTCATTCTTAATCATCATAACAAGTATGACTTTTTTAATTTATCAAAGGAATATATATTAGTGAAAGTTGCTGCACTAACTCCTAGAAAGGAAAAATATAGGATTTTTGTAATGAATAAAACATAAATGTCACTCTCAATGAACTACATAGCTACAAGTGAAAATCAGGGTAGAAAAGTGGGAATTAAATAACAGAGGGAAAGGTTCCCAAAATGTACAATCCAAAGAGCTAGACAGTGGTTTATACCATCATGCAAAAGGTGTTGGTTGTGGAAGACAATGATGGAAGTTAAATTGAGCGTTAAAATCAAGTAAATTTGCTTTGTTTATTTTCTGGGGCAAGAAGATCATTGTCAGAATTAAGTGGTGTAGGAAAGATAAAAAACACAAATCAAGAGATTGGAAATGCTTGCATCTGAACACAAACTGGGAGCTGATGGCTCAGCAGAGATGCTCTGTATTTCTATGAAGGGGCTGATGGCTTTCCAAGTGAAAATTAAGATAAGATTCTATTCTTTCTTTTAAAAAACAATGCGTAAATATTATGCTCACTTGATTCTAAAAATATATAGAAACACACCTATTTGGATAGGTTGACTTATTTACTTGCAAATATATAGGAAAATAAGTGAAAAGTTCTGCTACACTAAAACCTATCAGTATCAAATTTATCCACGTGCTTTCCTATATATCTCTATACCTGTTAAAATTACATTGAGGCCATGTGATTGGCTAATTAAATTGTTGTGCATAGGATATGGATGGATGAAATGAAAGCTACACCTGGGCCTGGATCTGAATTATTCCTCCAGACCACCCTGCCTCTGTGCTAATAGAAGCCAGGGCACTGAGCGGCAGAGTACAAGATCTATTCTTCCACTGTGATGTCTAAGCAAGTGAAAAAAATCCTTATTAAATGTGAAGTCACTTAGAATCAAGTTTATGACTCATCATAGTCCAAAGTAACCTAGCATTTATCCCAAACTATTAATTAGCTTTAAAGGGAAAAGTGGTATAATGCTATAATACATCGCCATTCTAATAATGAAATTGTGATACTATAATAATTAACCAAAAGATGTGCCCATTTCAAGAAAAAAAAAGGTATTAAGTCCCAGGAAAACTCATTTAAATGCCAAATTGAAAGTCCTGTACATACATTCTCATTCATCTAAATCATGTTAGAACTGTCCATTTTTAAAATAAATGCAGATATATGCCTTTTAAAATGTCAATATCTAGTTAAAGAAGAAAGGCATTAAATGTTCTAAAAATCGAATATTGCTTCAAATTATTTTAGCTAAACCTTTAGGTAATTAACCAGACTGTAATATGGAGCAAATTATAATATTTGACAACTATTTATTTATTACTATTCTCCTTACTCATCTAGTTGCTGAACGAATTATACCAAATTCTACCATTTCAGTTCTGAAAAAAAAATTAAAACCCACTTCTGGGTTGAATAAACAGTAAATTAGAGCAAGACCAGGAAAAGAAAATGCAGGTCAAATTATGAGTAATTGGAACTTTTGTAATGAAATCAAACAAATGGAACATAAGCCATGAGAAATATCTGGCGGCCAAATAACAGTCCTCAACAATATTTACCTTGCCGTCTAAGAGGCCAGCTGATATCAATCATTCGTTCCTTCCTTCCTAGAATCAATCATCATTCAATCTTCTTCAGTTTCACATGTCTCTTTTCTGGACTGAGCTTGCTTTGACCACCTGCAGCCAGAAGTACCCCAGGTGTATCCTTCGCTGCCTTCTGACTTTGTCCTCGAATTCACTACCTCTCCTACCATCTATATGTATCACCTAAATGGGGACTGTTCACAAAAATCTAGTTCCTTGCTCAGCTCATTGTCAAGTATAAAATCTAAATAGCCACTTTCTTTATGCACATATCCAGAGAGACCACACCCACATGCTCTCCTCACAGTGAATGACGACCCTCTAGCCAGCCATCTGGAAACCACCTAGACCCATCCTCAGTCATCCCCAGAAATCTCAGTAGCTCCCCAAATCCCTCTCACCCTTTTCTCTCCTGTCTTCTCAGGAAACAGACTTTTATCATCTCTCCTCTGATATACAGTTTCTTCCTTGGCTTCCTGCCTCTGACCATGATTTTTCTCCAATCCATCCTCCAAGGCTTCCATAAAATAATCTCGCATTTGCAAATTATGGGGCTTAAAACAATCATTTCACGAATATTTTACCCTAACTTCACCATAAAGAGAGAACTCCAAATTCTCTGAAAGTAATTACACTGCAAGCATTAAAATGCCTTGTTAATTTACTTGTTCAAATCAAATACTTTATAGCCTTATTGACAAACATATTTTCATATACATATATAAACACATATATGTGGATGTATATACATAATTCATCTGGATCATTTACAGGGGAGTTGCCAAGAATACGATATTTCATCTTTGAAAACATCATCACAAAGTTCCTAAGAAAAGCTCCTACACTAATCATCCAAGAAATTTAACATTGATTTAAAAAATGCTTTTTTTGCAATAAAAACATTTTATTTGGAGGTTTCTGATGATTGGGAAGGAGAGAGAGAGAATTAGAGGGAGAGATCACGAGAGAGAGAGGGAGAAAGAGAAACACTCAAGAAAGAACTACGTGGGCTTCTCCAAAGGTAGAGAACCCCTATACACATCCCAGCATTAGATAGAAAGCATGAAAGTACATGTCACAAAGGGGAGATGCAGGCAACACATGTGCATGGGCACCACATGTGCTTGGCCACGTGGATACAAGCAGCACACAGGCTTGGGCACCATATGCACCTGATAAAAATTAATATATCACCTAATTGTTCAGAAACAATTCTTGTCTGTATTCTTACTTTTTTAATTTTTTAAACATTTTTAATGAATCGCCATAAGATAGTTACAGACTTACAAACTTTTATGATTACATTTCAGTCATACAATGATCAAGTACCCATTCCTCCACTAGTGCCCAATCTCCATCACCAAAGTTCCCAGTATCCCTCCCGCCACTCCTTTTTTAAATTTTTGTAGTTTTATTATGATTCATTTAAGAAGCTTCTCAATTTGTACATATTTGTACATATATTTCCAGTCTGCAAATAATTATTGGAAGACAAAATTTTAAGGAACAACTCCAAACTTTCTTTTTTAAAAAAATTCTTATTCATAGTTTGGGTAGTATCCCACAATATTGCTTTATACTGTTGACATACAAAGTTACCGCACAGAACTCGCCACCAAAGTACTCATGACCCCTCTACCCCTGTACCTGGATGCCCTCTGCACTGATCCTCCTTCCCTGCAACCCATCACCACATTATTTAGATGTTTGCAGCTGTGGTTTGGGTACATACGGTTACTGATCACGTGCTACAGACCCTCCACTTCTGTTACCATGTTAGCTCTGTAGCGCTGTAGCACTGTCATCCCATTGTTCTTCCATTTGCTCAAGCGAGCACCAGTAATGTCTCCATTGTGAGACTTGTTGTTACTGTTTTTGGCATATCAAATATGCCACGGGGAGCTTGCCAGGCTCTGCTGTGTGGGCGGGATACTTTCGGTAGCTTGATGGCCTCTCTGAGGAAAGAGGAATAGAACCCCAGTCGGCCGCATGCAAGGCAAATGTCCTACCTGCTGTGCAATTGCTTCAGCCCCATGTTAGCTCTAATCAACCTAATCATGCCCCTCACCTCCATCCCCACAACCTAATATTTCTGGGTCAATAACCCAATGTGCAAGCTGTATTACTGATTGATATTGTCCATACCCTCGACCGGTTTCTCTATATACCACAGATGCGTGAAATCGCCTTTGTTGATGTCTGTTGGATCCCTCTCTGATACTCCTCCCGAGCCATCTGGACAATGCTGCCCAGTTGATGGTACATCCAAGGATTCTCCTTGAGGTGAGGGACCTTTGGAGACATTGCCTTGGAGGCAAAGGACAATATCAGAAGGAGCACCAGTCACCCCATAATTTGTGATAATTTATTATCTATACAAGCAATTCGGCTTTCTCAGGTCTATTCCTCTTGCTAGGAAGTTAATTGTTTTTCTTTTTTAATATGGAAACCAGAATTTTTTAATTACACTTTTTCTTATCTTTCAGTTGTACCGATCTAAAACATTCTATCCTTTTCCATAATATTATTGTTGGCAACATGGATTCTTCTCATTCCTTGTTAGCAATTAGATTTAAGTAAAATATTTTATACAATAATACATAAATGACATGTGTTCATGTTATTTTACATCAGAGTGTTGCTAAATTTGTAATTTGATTAAGGTGGCAAGTGCCCGATGTTCCTATATTAAAAGTAATTTCCCTAAAACAAATAATTTCAGATTTACACTGTAAATTCTTGGGAATATCCTGTTCTACAACTACATTTCATTACAAAGTTTCAGCATCTACTAATAACTTTTGCCTGAATTATTACACTGGAATTGCAAGATGATGCATTTGGTAATTCTATCATTTCTTCCATATACGTAAACTAGAATTTATCTCTTAAAAAATTATTCTCTTCTCTTTTCCCTCATTTTTAGAGCTATCAATTACTTTTGCACTCTATGTATCATCCTTTACATGTATTACGTATATGTACTCTATATGTATTATGTATCATATTCTATATGTATTATTTTTACACGTATAGTACCAAAATCAGCCAGTGAATTCTCTTACCACTTTCAACATTCCCTCCATTCAATAACTATCCTAAACTCAATCTGCCTTTTCCTGTTCTAGGGTCAAATTTGGGTATCCAAAACACAATGTCCACTATCTCTTCCAAAATTATCTTTTACCTCATCTAGAACTTTAAAATTATGGTTATGTTTTATGATAAAATTCTCAACATCCTCTCTAGAGCTCTAAACTCTTCATATTTTCCATCAATGTTTCATTTTATAAATTTCTTTGTATTCCCTCCTACTTCATTATTTCTACCCTTAGCTCCATTAAATATAGTATTTTAAAATATTGTCTTATCTAAATTATTTATTTCTAGAAGTACTTTTGATTCTTTATCAAATCTTCATAAGCATTTCTAGTTTATTCAATTTAATGAAATTAACTTTTATTTTTATTTTCTAGGTTTCTCTCTAACTTTTAAACTGTTCTATATTTTATGTTTGTTTTCAAAATTATTTTTAAATGTCAAAAATATAAAAAATTATACTTTATAATACTATATAAAAATATTAAGCATACTATTTATTCCTTACAAACATCTATGTAACTCTAATTATATATATGGGAATGTAAAGGGCTGCATAGTTCACTCATAGTGACCATAGTTCACTCATAAATTCAGTGATTTTCTGCAAGCAGGAACTAATTTTTATCTTCAAGAAGATGTTCACCCTCCAGGCAGTTGAGAAAACTTTGAACTCATAATAATATTAAACTAATTTCTGACTTTAGATATTTTTGAGATATGATGACTGGGATTCTGATTTAACCTCAATTAGGCTTACTTGTGGTTATGAATTATGAGAAAGCTTCTTTCTTTTCTCTCAAGTCCAAGATAGAGATGGTTATATTTCTTTGTCATTTCCTTCTTTCAAACGAAGGCCTTTATTTTCCTTTGAGAGGTCTCGGACTATAGGACATATCTGATCTGACTTTCCCTCTGGTATGGTGCATTTGGAATTTTTTCCAAATAAAATAAAAGTTCAGGGCCTCCAGAAATATGCAGATACTGCCAGAGGTAGATGGAGGGTCTCTGTCCTCAGACAAATCTTTCAGCTGGCTTTTTTTTATTATTGTTTTCCATTTTGGATTCTCAGCTTCTCCATAATGCCTGAAATATTTTTACCCATTTTGACACTCATTCATATTTCAAAATTCACTGGACACTATTTGATCTGTCATGACTTTGAAATAATTTGCAACACTTATTTATTTCCTATTTCCATCTTCCTTATTAATCAAAAAACTCAATGCAGACTATTATAATAATTATTCTTCTTGAATATTCAGCACCTCTCATTATATCTAACACATTCATCGAACAGTTGTTATACAAATCAATAAATAAAATATTTAACACCTCTATTCACTTACAAAGAATTTTTAATATCATTTTATGTTTGACAGTGACATGAATAATATTTTCAGCTTTTCCTCAGATCCAAAGATACTTATATACATTTATTCCTCCAAATTTCTACTTATCCCACTAACCACAAAAAAAAAGAAATGTGGGGGGAGTCCTAGTTTAAGTAGTGGCTAAAAGCAACTGATTATAAATAGTTGAAATGGATTACCTTAAATTATAAGAACTAATTAGAAATAATTTTCTAGAATTTAGAATTTTAACATTCAGAGTTAGAACTCAGAAGAGTTTGTTACCCATCACAGGACTCTATTCTGGCAAAGAGTGGATAGAAACTTTCTGAAAAACATTAAAACAGGGTTTTATATCATGAAACTAGTTTGGTTAGAAGAGTTTTAAGGCTTCCTCACACAAAAAACTTAGTGAAGTGACACTGTGAAATGTTTCATATGGGTTAAATTTAGTTTGTTTTCACCTAAAATTAAATTTTAGATTTTATATATTGAATCATTCAAAAGACTTTTGTGAACTTTATCTTTTTAGAAAAATCCAGTATTGAAATTATACTCAAATTTATATAAAGCAATTATAATAAAATCTAAAACAATGTTCCAAATTTATAGACAGATTCATTAGTCAAGAAGACAGATTGTAATTTACTGACATTTCACATTCTAGTGTGTGGGCTGGGTGGATGTCATATGATTTTCTACTGTTGGAATTTCAAGCACATGTGTATTATATAGAATGCCAATTCCTCATTGTGAACTCTTTAGTGGTCTCTTGAGAATGGGCGTTGTGTTTTTATCCATCATCCATGTATTTAATCACTTATTCAACCAATATGTACTGAATGCCTATCATGTGACACTCTGCTAGGCGCCAGTGAAGCAAGAAAAATCTGGAGATTGTGAATGCCATAGTCTAGGGAATTAAATAAATAAATTTTTATTTCCTTTATCTCATAAATTTATGACTTTATGAAATAATATATATATATCCCTTTACTTTTAAAAGTTGGAAGCTATTGGTGGATACACAAATGGAAAGTGTAACAAGAAGAAGGATTTCACTGGTTGGAAAGAATAAAGTTACTGGCAATATGAAATTTAAATAATTGCAATTTCAGGGACAGAGATTAAGTGGTCATTATATGCCATAAGTTTGAGAAAGTTTTATTTCTTGAGAAAGAATATTTTGTGTTAATATATTTTAATATAAAAGCTGATTTAAAATCCATCCATAGTCTAGGAAAAGTAGAGAAAAAGAAGAGAGTTTGGAATTGGTAAGAAAGTTGTCAAATATCTAATAAAAGTTCTTAACTTTGATGACCTACGAATGTCATCATTATCTTAATTAAGAATGACAAAATAAAAACAAATCTCTGCCCTGCTCGATTTTTCTTTCTTCTATAGCAGACTGTTTAAGCAGATTATCTGCACACAAGGGTTGTGTGTTAACCATTTCTCTCACTAGCCTTTGTCCACTTCCCAGCTATAGAGTTATTGTCCTTGGGCAGGACAACCACGCCTGTCATGGTATTAGGTCCATGGACACACTGTCTGTTTTTATCACTGGACCTTCCTTTATTAGCACTTAATGACAACAGTAGTTACTGGGTAAAGGATAATGTAGCAACACTTTTTAACTTAGTGGCTCATTTTCAATCTCTTTTGATGACTCTTCCACCAGAACTTTGAAGACTGGAGTAAATTGGGTTCAATCATAACTTCTTTCTTCTTAATTTTAGTCACCATGAATTACAAGTTACTTTATGGAGTAAATTGGGTTCAATCATAGCTTCTTTCTTTTTAATTTTAGTCACCATGAATTACAAGGTACTTTATGATTGGGTTTCAGGCATACAATGTGCCAGCATCCATCATTTGACCAGTGTCCACTTCCCTCCATCAATGTATAGGATCTGTTCTTATTAGTTTAATCATAATTTATTCAACTTATTATTTAAGTAATTTCACCCAATTCCAAGGACAAATTTTGTCCATATGCAAATTATTCCAAAAGTTTGTTTTCCCACTTACACCTGTCTTCAAATTTTTATACTCGTGCCTATCATCTTACTTATGAACATGTGTGTCAGTAGTATCTCAAACATATTTCGTGAAATTCATTTTTCTCTTTCAAAAAAGATTTTTCCATGTCAATAAATGACATAACTGAACATTAATTTTTTCATTTCTCTGGTATATCACAAATACCACAATTGCCACAATAATACAACATTAATTTTCAAAAACAAATCCAAGTTACTATTGTAGATTTCTTTGTGCTCATGTTTTTTTTTTATTTGTCCAGAGCAGCTTTGAGACACTGAGTCAAGAGCTTATATGGGTAAGCTGGAACAAGATGGTTATTACCTAGACATGGTCTTTTCATGAAACATCAAGAAGAAGAAAACACAAGTTATACCACTAACTATTACTTTAATCATGTCTTCTCACCATCCACTGGCCAAAGTTATATTCAGCCTTTTTGTTTCCAGATAGTCAGTTTACTGCACACTGGTGGTCCTCTTGTCCTTTAGATCTTAGACCAAATATAAGTGCATCAGATAGGTTATCAAAACATTTGAATCTGAAATAGGTGCCTATATCAAATTTAAAAAGTTTCTGCACAGAAAAAGAAACTCAAGATAAAATAAAAAGACACTAATGAAATGAAGAAATATTTTCACACAATAAATTAGATAAAAGGATAATATCCAAGACATATAAAGCGCTCAGAAAGCTCAATAACAGAGAAATCTATGAACCCCATCCAAAAATGGGGAGACAAGATAAATAGACATTTTTCCAAAGACATATAGATGGTCAATAAGCATAGGAAAAAGTGTTTGTTGTCACTTATTATTAGGGAGATGCAAACCAAAGCAACAACAAGGCAATATTTCATACCAGAAGAATGGCGTGTATCAAAAATATCTGGAAAAACTCAGTGCAGTAGTGAGAAAAAAATCCTCAGTCACTTTTGATTGAAAATTCATCTTGTTTAACCTCAATGGAAAGCAACATGGTATCTCTCTAGAAAACATCCAAACACAAAAGAACACCCATACTGCCCAGCAATATCACTTCTAGGCCTCTACCCCAAAACATAAAAACATTAATTTGAAAAGGGATATACAGAACTATGGAGCAATAGCACAGCGGTAGGGCGTTTGCCTTGCACGCAGCCAACATGGCCGACCCAAGTTCGATTCCTCCTCCCCTCTCGGAGAGCCCGGCAAGCTACGGAGAGTATCTCGCCCACACGGCAGAGCCTGGCAAGCTCCCCGTGATGTATTCGATATGCCAGACACAGTAACAACAAAGTCTCCAATGGAGACGTTACTGGGCCCGCTCGAGCAAATCGATGATCAACGGGAGGGCCTTTACTTACTTTACTTATACAGAACTATGTTTATTGATGCACTAAATCAGCAGCTACAATATGGAAATAATCAAAATGTCTAATGGATCCATGGACGAATGGATCAAAAAGCTTATAGATATATGGTGAAATACTATATAGTTATAGAAAGGACAACATCAAGCAACTTAGCATTTATATAATAAAATCCAACCAATTAATTATTAATGACTACTTATTTTAACCATGTGCCATGTGACTTTGGAGGTTATTGGAAAAGAAATTCATACCATTTCCCAAAGTTATAATTCACACCTTACTGGTACTGTTTTTGGCATATCGAGTACGCCTCTTATCATGAGCTACACTAGCACATGACAGGGACAAATGGAGAAGTTACTGGCACCCGCTCGAGCAAATCAATGAACAACGGGGTGATAGTGATAGTGAGAGTGATAGTGATAGTTCCCACCTTAAAGGTAAGTTATCCATTCATCTGTTGAATAAATAACTCAGTGTTTCACCTGGCATATACAAGGATTTCAGTAAATGCTGAATTACAAATTAATTTGTCAGGAACCAAGATGGGGTTGAAGTGTAAGACAGTACAATTTTATCAGTGATGCTATTAGAAAAGTACTGGAAATTAATTCATATTTTATCAGTATAATTTAACTCAATTAAAATATTTTGACCAGGGGGATAATACAATGAGTAGAGCAGTTGTCTTGCACGCAGCTGACCTAAGTTCGATCCCGCGCACCCCATATGGTCTCTGAGCCTTACCAGGAGTGATCCCTGAGCATTGCTAGGTGTTCCCACTCTTGGTTTGTTGTGCCCACATCAAACAAATGTTTCTCTTGTTGCCAGAGAAATAATACTGATGGTAAGGCACCTATCTTGCTTGTGGTCAACCCGGGTTCAATTCTTGACACTCCAAGCAGTCCCCAAGCCAGACACCAGAGAGGGCATCTGGTTGGAAAGTGAGTTTTGTTGTTCTACGTCAAGCCTGAGAAAGTTGTTCACCCTCTCTGAGCTTTAGTTTCCTTTATTTAGATACTCCCAAGTCTTACAAATGAATCTGTTGTGTGTTAAGTTCTTAATGAAAGGTGTCTGAAACATTGCTTATAAATTCTAGGAATTTGCTCGAGCGGGCCCAGTAACATCTCCATTGGAGACTTTGTTGTTACTGTGTCTGGCATATCGAATACTCTCGGTAGCTTGCCGGGCTCTCCGAGAGGGGCAGAGGAATCGAACTCGGGTCGGCCATGTTGGCTGCGTGCAAGGCAGACACCCTACCCACTGTGCTATCGCTCCAGCCCAATTCTAGGAATAGAGAAAAATATTGTTGGTGTCAGTAACATTTTCATTGCCTCTTCTGCTTTGCCAAATAAACTCATGAGTGTTTGAGTTCTGGAAGTAAGAGGAACGAGGGTCGGGGTCTTGGGCTTGACTGTGCTGTAAGGATGAGAATCTGCATACTTCTAAACCACTAGATCCAACATTACTACAGCATGGGATCCAAATTACAATAACAAACTGAAAAATGTGTCTGTCAGAGTCAAATAGGAGAAAATCTGGGATCACTGGTGAAGAGATGAAGTTATTGGTGGTGACATTAGAGCTGGGAATATTATAAACCTAACCCCTTACTGTCAACATTTATTTGTTAAATACCTCAGTGTTGAATACCACAATATTCATTAAAAAAAAAGTGTATAAATTTTAAAAGACAAAATTCATGTGCAGTGGCTCTACCAAGAAGAGCCCACATCAAACAAATGTTTGTCCTGTGTCCATTCAGAATATCACCAGGGAAGCCCTAAACACTCATCTTGGTTTGCCACTGTGTCACCTGGGGCAGTGGTTTGCAAGAGCCAGTCTGCACTGAGCTGATGGTCCTCGGATATGATGATTTTAAAAGCCATAGGCCTAACACATTGGTTAATAACTGCTGGTCTACCGGTTGGTACTTGGACAGTGCAGTCTTTAGATGGCAAAAAGTAAGAAACCACTGACTCAAGAGATAGAAAAGATGTAGTAATAACACCAATTTCCTAAACATGCAGAAGTCAGACCTAGAAAAAGCTTTGTATGCAGAGACACTCTTAACATGGAGCCCCAGGTTTGAAAACTCAAAATACTCCTCCAGCCCTAGCGAGGATTACCGTGTGAATGGTGGGAAAGGAGAAATAGTCCCAAGTAGGAAACTGATCTACACACGAACCAGTACAATGATTCATACATTGGTGGTGGAGGGGGAAATACAGGCACTCATGGAGAAACCTAAAAACACCATAACCGGTTAGCATAACCAGGTAGTGACCTTGGCACCACAAGGAGAATATTCATTTATGATTTTATTCCTCGCAACTGACATTCATGGGTGAGAAGGGTGTAACCACTAGCGCAGGACCGCTAAACATAGAAGCCGGTATCTGTAAGGCATTAGGGAGCATTTGCAAATGAAGACTGCTTTTATTTATTAATTTTCTGTAGCATTAATCATGCTTCATCTTGCAGTGGTGTTGTCATTTCTCTTGCGTGCACACACTGAATTACTGAGCAGTGCCCTGCTATGTGTCTCACACGCTCTGGCACTTCTATTTCATACTTCACAGTTTTAGTGTCACTTTGAGGTTTGATATGTTTCACAGTTATTTGCTATATGTGGGTGCCAAAAAAAAGTCAGCCTATATCACGGGGAAAGATACTGCAAGAATAGAAAAATGGTTACAGTCAGATGGGAATTTTTGTCCCATTAACATTCAGAACTTTACCAAGAATCAATTTAGTTCTTATCAAAATCTAATTTACGTTTTACAGACGCATGGGTGCATACAATTATTTCGCTCACCACATACAGTTCTTATAAAGTTAAATATAAACTTTTATTGATGTAGATAAGATTGCATAATTAGAAGGAAATTGAAAACACCATACATCTTTCGAGCCGCACGACTGGCCCATATGCTCTAACAACACAAGCCCAAAAGCCTCCATCCAGCCACCTGATCTAATGCTGTATAAATATTGAGTGAATTTTTATGTATATATCTCAATGCATATTTCAGTTTAATGTGTGAAAGTCAATCTATTTAAACAAAGATAGAATGACTTATATCTGCCACACATATAAATGCATTAAGACACATCAGATACTGTGCA